GAGAAAGAGTATGGGGAATAACTGAAAAACGTATGACTGAAAGCCCTTACCCATGAACCCAAGGACAAGCATGGTCTGGGGGCAGGCTCTCCACTCTTTCAATTATTTTTTTACAAAAAGATGAAAAAGAGAGTGATCTTAAATGAAAGGTAGAGAGGGAATGGTAGAAATTGAAGGGAGGGGTAGCAAGATGTGCTGCACTCTCTGTCCCAAATCCAACTTATGCTTCTTAGAGGGGCTGATCAAGTAATGACATGGGGCTTGTTAGATTAGGTACCTAGGCCAACAGGAAATGAGAAGTGCGGCGAGAGGATCAGCAGAGAGAGAGGAAAAAACAGAGAGGGAGAGAGAGAGAGAGAGAGAGACTGCTGAAAGGGATAAGCAGTGATGGGCAGAGTAAAGTTCAAGTGTCACAGAGTTGGCATATATCAGTGTGCATAAAAAGATGCGCGCAGGGTTGGAGCTCGAGTGTTGAAAGCATGTGAGAGGATGCATAATCAGAGGGAGTAGTTTTCATGTTATGAGTTTGAGGACTTAAAGAGATGAAGGCCAGAGATCAGAACAGTTAAGTCAATACTCAATCAATCAGCCAAAGTCCTACTGCTCAGAAACAGATGGCGTCTTTTTTTTCTTTGTGAAAAATAATGCAGAAATTCCTGTTTTCTCTCTTGCGCTTGTGCAGCACGTTGAAAGGAGAATGCTACGTGTCTCATTCAGTAAAGAGGATTTCACATTGTGCGTCATGCCACGATCGAGGATCTTCCTCTGAAGTCCATTTGAAACATTTACAGCTGCAGTCAAAATTATTCAACCCCTTTATCCTGCTGGTGTAAACAATAAAACTCAAGGGAATCATTTATTTATTCACTATACTGTAGTGAACAAAGACAAAACAGCTTCAAATAATTAAACTTCGACAGGGTCAATCTGTTCAGTTGGGAATCATGAATCACTGTGAATCCATTTCACCTGCTGTGGTTCAGATGAAAGTGACAACAGGTGTGCTGGAGAGGATCACAACAGCGGAATGGTTTTGCATGTGGTAGCCACAGACCATTACTCTCTCTTTATACACTCTGAATGACTTTTCTGCAATTTTGCTTTTTCTTAGTAATCTTGCTGCTACTTTTGCATGAGACAGTACCTGCAGTCCATTCAGGTTGCACATGTAGTCCAGCTTGTCCAGGAGAGCACATCCCCATTCATGTGTACCATTGCAAGAAGCTTTGCTGTGTCTCCCAGAACAGCCTCAAGAGTGTGGAGGAGATACTAGGAAATGGATACAAGGAGGAGAGCTGCATTACTGGTATCTGCTCCTTTGTACGAGGAGTAGCAGGAGGTGATAGATGATAGGGATCGGCATCCTTTAGTGCAGCATGTGTTCACAGACTGACATCATGCAGCCGAACACTAGAACTGGCAGGTCGATCACTGGTGCCCCATTCATTTCACAGATGATGTTGGAAGCATTATAATATTCGCCACAGCATCTTCCGACTCTTTCACACCATCCATATCTGCTATTGTCATATTTTGAGAGAAAAGTCCTACCAGTTCTGCTGTTCTTTGGCAGATGCACAGAGGACAGGTTCTTCTAAAGAACATTTGGGACTAATGCTGCCCTCACGCAGTCTGATTCTGACAGTTTGGTCAGAAACATGCACATACGCGGCCCATTGGAGGTCATTCTGTAGGGCTCTGTCAGCGGTCCTTCTGTTCCTCCTGGCACAAAGGAGCATATACCAGTCCTCCTGGTTGATGCACTTCTACGGCTCTGTCTACGTCCTCATGTAATGACTGATAGACTGTCATGGGAGATGCAAATAACTCTGTTGGCCAGTAGTGAAGAGGGCACCAACACAAAACAAAACTAGAGCAAACTCAATCAGGAGGGATAAGGAGAGAGCAACAATCTGTGGCCACTACAAGTAAAACCCTCTTTCATTTGCACTAAATGTATTCATAATGATCTATCAGTCCTAACTGGACAGACTGATATGCCCGAGGTTTAACGGACTGTGTGCAATACTGTGACGATCAAGCAGTGCATTTTGCTATAATGATTAATATACATTTCTGATAGTTTCTGACAAACGTTCCTGTCTTTTGTGTTCTGCTCCTAATATTCTCCATCCATTCATTCGCTTCCGCTTATCCTTTTCAGGGTTGCGGGGGGCGCTGGAGCCTATCCAGCTGTCATAGGGCGAATGGCGGGGTACACCCTGGACAGGTCGCCAGTCTGTCGCAGGGCTAACACACAGGGACAGACAACCATTCACATTCACTCGCACATTCACACCTAGTGGCAATTTGGATTATCCAATTAACCTATCCCCACAAGCTGCATGTCTTTGGACGGTGGGAGGAAGCCGGAGTACCCGGAGAGAACCCACGCAAACACGGGGAGAACATGCGAACTCCACACAGAAAGTGTTGGAATTGAACTCAGGACCTTCTTGCTGTGCGGCGACAGTGCTAACCACCGTGCCACCGTGCTGCCCCTAATATTCTCATATTCACTAATATTGAATTCACTAATATTCCTTTCCTTTTGTGCTGCAGCTGTTTTGCTTAAATCTCACTGATGATTTTAAAAGGGATTTAAATCCGGGGACATGTTTCCTGAACCAGTGTTTTAACATTTAGAAGTGCTGGGGTCACCCCCTTCCCAGAAAAACTCATCATTAAGAAAGTACAGCTTTCTTCCAACGATCTAAGATGCTTTGCTCTGTAACAGAGTACCAAATCTCCACGTCTTATGGTCTTTTTGGCAGGCTTTGACCATGTGTTCCAATTCACTTTCATCACTTCAATAAAACAATTCTCTGAACTCAGCAGGATTATGTGATTTGGTTCTTGCATATTCAAGTTGTCATCTATGTGTTTTTTGTGGATAAACTGAGACGAGCAAGGTTTCTGTTATTTCTGTTAGCGGGTTATTTTTTTCCTAGTTGTTATTTTTAAATGTGTGATTTTGCTAAACTTTGAAACTTGATTAACTAAGTATGTGACCATAATAACAACTGGTGGCCCTTTTTTAAAAGATACAGTTAGTTCCATAATTAAAGACAACATTTTTGTACTTTTGCCTCTTCAGAGGATTTAAAATCAAACGGTTAAGATGTGACGGAAGTGCAGACTTTCAGCTTTAATTTAAAGGGTTGCACAACAAATTTAGCATGAACTTTTCAGGAATTACAGCCATTTTTATACATAGTCTACTATTTTCAGAGGCTTAAAATAGTTCCATCAAGCGGTTTTATGGCTGATTTCTTGTTATTTCATGAAACAAAGCAGATGTAATATGTGAAGTTTCAAGGTGTTGAATTTATATCTTATAGCTTTTCATGGTGATTTTAAACATGAGGCACAAAGAGATTTCAGGAAAAGTGGGAGAGGCTGAAAAAAAACAGAATAAACCCATCAGAGAGCGAAAGCTTCAGGAGTGACTAAATAACAATCTGGTACAATCTTAAGAAAGAAAGAAGAAACAAATTGATCAGCTCACCAAGACCAAAAGGCCCATAGACTACAGAAAACAACTAAAGTGGATGATGACAGAATTATTTCCATGGTTGAAAACAGAAAAAAAACCCCTCTTTGATCAGATCAAACCAAGATTAACTTGTACCAGAATGACAGGAAAATAAAAATATGGAAAAGGCGAGAAACAGTTCATGATCCAAAGCATGCCACATGATCTGTCAAACATGGTGGAGACAAGGTTATATCGTGGGCATGTAAGGTGGACAGTGGAACTGGGTCACTATTGTTTTTTGATGATGTGACTGCTGCTACACTCTCTGCTCAAATTCAGCCTAATGCTGCAAAACTGATCAGGCAGTAAAGTGCAAATGGATGATGACCAAAAGCAAACTGCAAAAGCATCCCAAGAGTATCTCAAGGCAACGAAATTGGGTATAGAAAATAAATGTGATGCTGAGAGGTGCAAACAAGCAACAACTGAAGGTGGCAGCAGTAACGGCTTAGCAGAGCATCTTAAGGGAGGAAAAACAGCTTCTGATCCTCTGAAAATGGGAGACTATAAAAAATATCTGTAATTCCTCAACAGTTAATTCAAAGTTTTTGTTAAATAGCTGACTTATTGATTATGATTAATAATGATATTATTTTGAAAGTCTCAGGATAACATTAAACCCAAGCAGAGGCTATTTTTCTTTGGTCTTGTTTAGTTGTCTTTGGTCTTGTTCTCCTGTTCTCAGGCTTCAAACAACCCAAACACCTTGGTGTGATGGCTGAGAGGAAAAATACTGGGGAAAAGGGCATCAAAGCACTTGCTCTTCCCTTCTTGTCTTTGACTGCTGCACAGTTTCTATAAGGCTATGAATTCCTCTGGTCTTTCATTTTTGACACAGCATGAAAACGCATATAGAGATTTACAGTCAGAAAATTAAGCGGAATATGGAAAGTGACCTGGTCCAACATACTGGAAGAGTTTCCGCTATCCTATTGTATTCTCAGTATGATAACTCTTTCTGGAAATTAGTTTGAATAACTCTTCCTGTTGTGAAACACTAAGTTAATGAATAATAGAAATAAAAACACTTTTGCTCAGGTATTACCATGTTTACCTCTGAGACATTCATCTTTAATGGGAGACATTCTGAACCCATGTTGCTGAGGTAAAGCCAAAGTGAAACCAGCTTCTTTAAGGATGGCTCTGTTCCATCAGTTGCATCAGTGAAACACCACAGCAAACTAGCAACAACAGCAGGAACCTGAAATGATCAGTGTGCTTTTTCCTGCCACAGTATGACGCCTGTGAAACAGGTCCTTACAGTCTTTGTATAATCACCAGAGCACACTGCTCGATGGGGACTTTTTTTTCAGTGCTGATGCAAAACCTGGGCAAACATAACCTGAAAGGATGAACATGACATCAAGTGAGCAAATATGGAGTGGGTGGAGAGTTGTTTTTGCAGGCAGGAGGGGGCACGAGTAATTTAAGTTTAGGCATTGCGTGCTGGGAAAATACTTACTCTGCATTGGAGAGAAGAAGACCTCAGACATGGGTGCAGCCTTGGTCCATTTGTACTGAGGGACAGGCTTTCCATGACTGGACTTACAGCTCAGAGTCACATTGCCCTTCATCACTGGGTTCCCTGTCATGGTGCACACTGGGGGAGAAGGAGGGACTGGGCAGAGGGACAGATAATGTTAGTGATTTAAAACATGTGCGATAAGAAGCTACACCAGCAGCCCCATTTAGTGAACTTCTATGGTAGTTGTAATGCAGCGCCAGCGATGTGGAAATGTCTCAGGGCAGTAGCCACGCCGCAAAAAAAAGGTACGTTTCAATCTGCTGCTGGAGGATGACATAACAACCTGAGAGCCCAGCGAATCCCTAAACAGCAGATGAGTTTTATGTGGACAGTGCTTTCTCATATAAATATATGATTTTTGACAGACTGGTCTAATCCTAAATCCTTTAAAATATGCTTAGCATTTACTTCGCCTGAACTTCCAAATCCGAGGAAGTGTGTGAGCTGCACTGCAGACTTTCTGATTACATCTAACCTTTGAAATTCCTCTGACGCTGCGGACCATTACCTTTGACATTAAGGCTCATCTCCCCAGAAATGCCAGGAGCTCCGGGGATGATGACAATACACGTGTAGCGACCAGAGTCGGATTCCTGGGTGTTATTGATGTAGATGGAGAGGTTGGTCGAGGGCATGGCCACACTGAAGCCCACTCTTTTTGTGAACTCGTTCTGACCGTGTCCGACCTCACCTGAGCTAAAGTTTATCACCTGCACGGAGAGAACACGTCCACAGAAACACAGACATCACTACATCGATATGGATTATTTCATTCAAATGAACATTTTTTTGAATTCTGCCTGATATTAAGATGTGCAGATTACCATGTCCTTCATAAAGATAATCCTGGCATCTACAGATGGTGGATGTTGAATTTTAGCCTGATTTTCTGTTTGAGATAATCTCACAGGCATCGGAAACTGTTTAGATAACATTAATCATATAAACACACACAAACATAGTGCATGTGCAGGCATGTGCAAGTTCACTAGCAGCGTGTGCTATGTAAGAGAGGTACAGCACAATGTTGGGCTCAAGTGTCATTAGAGGCATATTGTCCTTCCTAACGCCCTCCCCTTCTTCCTTCCACTATGAATTAGACAGTGGCTTTAGAAAAAATCCTAATCTCTACATATCAACATGTTTTACAAATCTCTATGGGTGAGTCAGAATGTAACATTGTCATGCAATGCAACATTACTCTCTTCCTCTTGCTTAAATTAAACAATAAGAAGATCTAAACACAGCTTTAAATACAGTCTTTAAACTGATATTGTATGATAGAAAATAATCTACGCAAAGTAGTTCAGTTCGTTGTTTGAGCTCTAATAGTTTTTGCATTAGATGTAAAGCTTCTGTAGCGCTTGCCAGAGAACCAACCAGCAAACCGTACTTTACTCTAATCCCTTTAAAGAGGCTCTCGATTGTCTTTGCACCAGAGGTCAGAGCAGCTATTCAGCACAACGTTACACTGCTTCGGCTGTTCCCTTCTCACCTGCTTGGACTCGTTCCCAGAGAAGTACCAAATGACAGAGTTTTTGGAAATGTCTGCGCTGGGGCTGTACCACGCTTGTAACACCACCATCTGGCCTTGTACCACCTCCATCTCTTTTCTGGGGAACTCCACCTTCTTTGTGTCACCTGGAACCAAAACAGTGATAACAAGGGTTTAAAAAGCACTTCTTATCATGACCTCGACGGAGCAGCTGAACAGCAGCCTTGACTGCTTTTTGCAGAAAGCCAGGTTGCTATGGCAACACAATAAGTCAGTTTAACTTTTGCGTTTGTTTTATTCGACTTATTTCTGGGGATTAGATTGAATCCATTTTTTGCAGGGCTCCAACAAGAGATCATTATTTTGCAGTCATGGAAGATATCAAAGATATTCACATAATAATATTAGGGAGAGAGAAGCAGCACTGACTTTCACTGATATAAGAAGCTGAAGCAATAATTTTTAATAATACTTTGGTATAAAAATCACCCTGATTCTATTTTAAGTTGTCTGAATATCAATAATCCGTTTTCTTTTGTTTTTGTTCTGTAAATGTCTGCCATTGTCATGGCCATGTAAGAGATATTAGTTGAGTGATTTTAACCATCTTTTTTCGCAGCAATTGTTTTGATCTGCAATATGAAAAGAACTACTCAGGAAACCAGAACATCAGAGACGTAGCAGCTCATCCATCTCATGATCCTTCACAATTCCCAGGTTATTGCCCGTCATATGACAAATGTGAGTTGACCTTGAACACAACTTGTGTATTTTTAAGTAAGTTTCACTAAAATCTGGCCACGACTAGAACAGGAGGACTAGTAAACGGTGGCATAAGTGGCGTATGCTCATCGTTCTTTAAACTGGATGAACCAAAATTAGCGGCATAAAAACTTTTGAACAGCACAAAAACAATAACTAAAATTGTCAAATGACTTAATGGCTTCATTGTAACATCTTCATATGTAGTAAAAACTCAATGATAACATTGCAGAAGGTGGAGATTACTACTCTAGTTTCTCTGATCTGAGCACTCTTGACAATTTTAATTTAAATCAGTATCTCTTAAGTTATTTTCTATGGCAAAACAAGCGGACATTAGTGCTGCCAAATCAACAAAGATCTAAATGACCACACACCCAGCCTCTAAATTCTCAAATTTAGTCTTCATAAAAGATTTACACTACAGTAGGTTAAGTCTCTACTGTTCTGCATGGGAAACGAGCAAATGGTGAAGGAGAAAAACAAACTTAACCCTTCGTATCAATACATGAAAATTGTAAAAATTGTAACTCTTTATTTTTATTGGAGGATATTAACGCTTTTCTTTTCACTTGTTTGCCCCCCCCCCCTCCCACACACACACACACACACCACCCACCAGCAATGTTTCATTGTTAAGATGCAAATGAAAACGCTATATTTGGTTCTTCATCTGCATCTGATACAGGTTTAAGAGGTAAAGAAAGTAGAATTTTGGCTTATCTCAAACTAATTTCATCAACCAAAAGTCAAATTTACAAGTGTCCACTATCTCACTACTGTTAACATTCGGATGAAGCTGATGTGGTTGGAAAATGCTACCTCTTAAACTCTTAAATACATTTGCACATAGAAAAGAAACCAAAGACGAAACGACGGAGGTGGAATGATGATAATGAAGCAGTCATGGTGATATGAAGACAGGTTGTGGGAAACGATAACACAAAAGAGATCTTTTTGAACTCACAGGGTGCCCAGTCACCCGAACCAGACACCTGAAGCTGGATCAACTGATCCCAGCAGCTGGTCTCCGTCTGAGTCTCCAGTTTGGAGCTTGCTTTAAAAGCTAAAGCCAAGGACGTGAAAAAGACCCACTGCTGCTATATCCTTTAAATGCTGCAAATGAAACAGTGAAAAGTGTCCCTCCTGCGCTCAAATGGATGGCAGGGCGTAGCAGAGAGGAATGGGAGGCAGCGTTATGATCCATAGATATCCAGCTGAGATCCCCACATCTGTTCATGCAGACACGCCTTCCTTCTCTCCCACAGTGAAGCCATGCAGGGGCAGGAGAATTAGTCAGAGGGTGGTGGTGTGGGCACAGATGGAAAGGAGGAAAGTGTGTGTGCATGTATAAAGCACCAAAAAATGAAACAGAACTTGTTTTGGGGTTTTTTTTCACATGCACTTTTTCCTGCAGTGACTCAGTGCTTTCTTTTTCCTCCTGGGACAATGTGACCCCGCAAGTGTGGTGCTCCTATCCCTTAATTTCTCAATCTCTGAATCTGGTAAGTCCTTCTGACTAATCCCTCAACAATCTCAGACTCAATCCTCTCACCTCATGTGAGCAAAAGAGCTCAGCTGTACACAGATATGATGTAACACACGGTCATTTCTCCCACCAATACCAGGGTCACGATCATCACAGCAACATGTAGGCTTTTCAATTACAAAACTGTGGGGTGGTTACGGGGTTAGGGTGACCTCAGCTGAACCTGTTTGCAAATGATGCAATCAGAAACATTAGATAGAAGAAAATTATCTAAAAAATATTTTTCAAGGCAGAAAGCAACTTGACTCCTGCATCCAACCCTAACACCTCTTATGTCGGGTGGATTTTTTGGATTGCGATCACGTGGTGCACATGAGGGGCAGTGCAGTTTGATCTCCCTTTGGGTGAATGTGCAAATACACAGGTGAACCTTGACCTTTCAGTAGGCTGTACTGAAACTAATAAGACCCTTAAATGTATCAATCCTACAGAGGCACGCTTACAATTAGTAGATGTAGCAGAGCTGCTCATTCATACTCAAACTGAAGCTCATCATCTGTTGGCATCTAATCGCATAAATATTGAATGCTAAAATGCGGACACAGTGTTGGTTGTAGATAAAAGGGACGTCACCAACTGAGGGGAGATCTACCCTGCTTTTATTTTTCATCAACACATGTAAAGATGTCAAAAGCTGTGATTTATACTGTGACATGTAAACGAAAGGAAAACATTCTTCCTGTTTGTTCCTCATTTGCTCGTGCCAGCCATGTTGAGGAGTAAAGCCATCTATTGGGCATGTGTGCATGAGATTAATATCTTTATCGCCATCATCATCACCACCGCCATGCCCATATCAGCCGTCAGATCAGCCTGTTTTTGATTGGTAATGTACAGCAGCCCAGGGTGCAGCGAAATCATCTATTTTCAGATCTGAAACATAGATTTTCCCCTCGCAAATCCTGTTAGCTCTCTGATTTCATTTCCACCAGCTATCGTCTTTACTGTCATGCCCATCAATAAAGCAATATGTACGTGCTGCAACAATTGTGTAATATTATTGCATAAATGGTCTTGTTTGTGATGCAGCTGTGTGGCGTATCTCCGACTTCTCTAAATGGTCACATGCTCAGTGTATGCTGATCAAAATACAGCGTGTACAGAAGGCCCAATTAGAGAGGACCAGCTTTTTTCTGCAGGTCGCTTTTTGCTATGAATTGCTGCAGAGAGCTTGCAGAAGCAGTGCATGCAAACAGCATTTCTGAATGATACACGGAGATTTTGTGATGAAGCGCGATAATAACCTGTAGTCTTCTAAGTCCAGACTATTCTTGTGCTTCTTTGAGCAGGTTTATCCTCAGAACTGTGTCATTCAATTGTTTATTAAATGAAGTAAAATCTTCACTAATCCGTGCCTGTCTCCATCTGGGATGAGTCTGTGTGTGTGTATGTGCGTATGTGTGTGTGTGTTTGTCTGTATGTGTATGTCAGTAGACTCAGATACAAAGGCTGTTCAACATGTGGATATGGATATAAATCAACTTAAATCCCTCACCAGAGGTAAAAAATCTGGAAAAGCTACTAATAAAGGAGGATACTGGAGGAAATGAGACTAGGTAGCCTCAGCTAACCTTGCCCTAATTATATTTTCCTAAAGGCTATTGTTCAGCCTAGCCACGCTTTGATTCTGCTAATAGGATTCTTTCCTTTATGAATAAATAACATTTAAAAAAATATATAATATTATTATTTTTCCTGAGGGGCATCTTGGTGGATTCTCAGCTGCAAAAGCATTTCAGATGGCAACGAAACTGTACTAACAAAACAGAATAGAACAACAAGCCCAGTCAACCATATCACGCATGCTGGAGCTGGAGCACAATTAGGAGACCAAATGTGTTTCCTGTAGTACCGACAGTCGTCCATAGGGGGAAGCACTTTCATATGAAACCAGAGATCCTCTGATGGTAGTTAAAACCCCAGTGGAAACCATCATTTCGCCAGAGCAGCTAAATTTAAGTCCCAGCAGATGAATAAATAACTGTAAACAGATGCAACGCAGTAAGTAAGTAATCACAGACTTATATAAAAATGAAATGTTGAAAAAGCAGCCTCGGCAAGTGTCTAAAAATACACAAACTAGTGCCTCACTTACTCAGATATGTGTAATTAGCATGTCTAACAGGGCATCCAAACCTAGTTTTGCTGTGTTATGATCAAATGAAGGATTAAAAGTCGCCCCCCCCGCCTTCCACCTCCAAGCCCTCAGGTAGCCATGTAGGCCTGTGTGAAGATAAACTGATCCTCTTTAACCAGCCTTACTCTATCTCTCCGAGTAATCTCTGCTTCCACCCATGTCTTTCCCTCATGTGAGTCTCTCTCTGGAGCTAAAGGTTTAGCTGAGGCTGATATTAACTCTTGATTTCCACCTCTTCCCCCCCCTTTTTTCATAATCAAAACAGCAGAGCGGGGCTTTAGCTGTAAAATGACCTAACAAACAATATATTTGAATTTTAATTAGACGGTAAACACAATCTCACATTTTCATGACCTTTTTTAATCACTATTCCAATGTTATTAACCATTCAACGAGCTTTTATGCTGTAGGTTACATTCACCAACTCACACAAGCACATTTTTAAACCACCTATTTAATGTGTACAACTCTTATCTATAGAAAACTGGAGGAGTCAGTCAGAACCACTGACCTTCTTACATATTTAGTTTAATCTGTTGTTTCTTTCATTTACATTCATTAAAACCATAAAACCACTGAAAATGCCCTGAAGCAACACAAAACAGAAAATCGAAGGTCATATGGTGCTGAATCTGTGAGCACTTCATGTATGTAAATGAAGAGGAGGCAAGTGAATAAATGAAATTGGGAGAAGTAGA